GATTCTAATCTTTTTAATACCCGCTTATTTATGCCCTTATTGGCGCTGATTTATATATTTGGATTATTTTGTCGGATATGCAACAATATGTATTAGGGTCGTTATTAGCATAAATGACCATGGCTGGATTTTGACAGGTCAAGTTAATCCTAATCAATTTAAATCAATTATTAGATCTCCGGAATATTCTACTTGGACGAAAAGAAGATGAAATACTACAATTAATGGCCCCTATTCTACATTTCAATTCGAATCGAAATTTTCTCCTTTTGGCAACTTTGGTATTCTGCATTTCGAAGTTTCCTTAGAGCGGGTTTTTGAGATGGTAATCAAATGCCAATTAATAATCAGATTAGTTAATCTAAAAATAAATTTAATCTTATGTTAATCCCCTTTGATGTTTTTGAGTACAAGATTAAACTTCGCAGTGTTGCCATATAAAACAACAGAAAATGTCACTGTTTGTTATCAAAACAATGCATATTTTATAAAAAAGAAGAAGACAATTGTAAATTTTATATGAAAATTAATGAAAACTTAAATTAAAAACAAAAAAATGTATTTTGAAGTGTCCATAATTTATACTAATCAATAAATAGAACATTTTAATGTTTATATTTATAAAAATTTTATTAATTTTTTTGCATCAGCTGTTTACACTTTTGCATTTCGTGCTTAAGATTAAACCACCTCCATTGGGCGCTTAAACTTGCAAACAAAATTAACTAATTGAGTACTCAAAAACATCTTTCGAGGATTAATTTTAATTTAATAGCTAATCTTTCACCTAAAGATTGGCCCTAAGAGCGGGTTTTTGAGATGGTAATCAAATGCCAATTAATAATCAGATTAGTTAATCTAAAAATAAATTGAATCTTATGTTAATCCCCTTTGATGTTTTTGAGTACAAGATTAAACTTCGCAGTGTTGTCATACAAAACAACAGAAAACTTCACTGTTTGTTATCAAAACAATGCATATTTTATAAAAAAGAAGAAGACAATTATAAATTTAATATGAAAATTAATGAAAACTTAAATTAAAAACAAAAAAATGTATTTTGAAGTGTCCATAATTTATACTAATCAATAAATAGAACATTTTAATGTTTATATTTATAAAAATTTTATTAATTTTTTTTGCATCAGCTGTTTACACTTTTGCATTTCGTGCTTAAGATTAAACCACCTCCATTGGGCGCTTAAACTTGCAAACAAAATTAACTGAGTACTCAAAAACATCTTTCGAGGATTAATTTTAATTTAATCGCTAATCTTTCACCTAAAGATTGGGCCTAATTCGTTTCGCAAAAAAGCACATAATTCAAATTCGCACAAAACGATACACTAGCTCCATACAAAATTCACTAATTGGGTTTTAGATAAAAAAGCGCACATTTTCAAATTATTCCCTTAAAAGGCAAACAAAATCGCATATAAAAAATCAAAAACATTTAATTCTTTATTGAAACCATAAAAAATAAAGAAAAACAACAAAATAATACCAATTCCAAATAATGAAGAAAATATACAACATTTCTTAAAAATAAAACTTAATATTTCTTCATGTACAAAGGATTTGAACAATACTTTATATATCCGAACCGGAATTGGTAAAAAATCAGTAGTTGTACTTTGTTGATCACTTTTTTTGGATGTATGTGGACCAAAATTTTTATCAAAATCATTTTGCAAAGAAAAATTTTAGAATTTTGAAACCGCACTAATTCAAATTCGCATTAAACGAGGTTTGAGTGTAGTTATAAATTGAGAAATAAGGCATAAAACTTATAATTAAGGAGTGAGATCGTAAAATTCTTAACACACATTTTTCATTAAAACTTTTAACCCATTTTTTTTTTTTTTGATCAAGTTACCTTTGTAAAATATGTCAGTTTTATGTTTAATGCCAATTATATGTGTATATTTCTTAATAATCTGATTAAAATGAGTGACCAGAAAAAAGTCCGTACTAAAATTATTATACATATATTTTCAACAAAACCCAACTTGGTCCTACAAAAAGTTAGCCAAGCATTCAAAGATCTGCCGTCAAACTGTTTCCAAGTACCGGGAGAACTTGTCCGTTGATAGAAAACCTGGTTCAGGTAGAAGGAATGGTCCACATGATGTTTTTAAAGAAAAAACAAAAATAGAAAGCATTTTCAAAAGAGCTCCCAACACATCCGGTAGGAAAGCAGCCCGTTAGCTCAGTGCTCGGGCTATTTGGTACGAAAAGTTAAAGCTAATGCAGGTTTAAAAACATACAAAATTTAGAGGCCCAGAATTTTAAGACAAGTTTTATAAAAAATATTCTTGCTGCATAATGGATAACGAAACGTATGTTCTGGCAGATTTTGAAGAAATGTTGAAATGTCGTTGACAAAATTTTAAGGACCAAGAAGCAGACAAAATTTTCCAAAAAGTTCTTGGTATGGCAAGCAATATGCAGTTGCGACAAAAGAAGCCAATCATTTGTTACAACGGACTCTATAAATACCGAAATTTACATCAAGGAATGTTTAAAAAAAAGGCTGCTTCAATTCATAAGACTTCATAATGTGTCCACTTATTTTTGGAATGACTTGGCAAAAAACGTGTCCAAATTTTAAACGGAGATGGATTACCTGTTCGAGCAAAGCACTATAAAAGCGTTAATGGAAGGGTTTCCGAAAAAGGTTCAAAATAGTGCTGTTAAAGTATTGAGTAGTGGGTATCGAGTATCGAGTATTTGCCCTATTTTTCGGGTACTCAATACTAACAAGTAGTTACTCAATACTTTCAGACTTGTATATGTATTTAACTTATTTAAATTTAACGGCTATGATGTGAAAAAATACAGCTCTACAACTAATACAGATCATATCATTATTAGAAATGCAACTCTTAGCAATATCAAATCAATGTAAAAATGTAGAATATTTAATTGTCTACAGAATTGTAGGCATCTGAAGTCGTAGGAATCACAATAAGCGAGATATTTGTAAAAAACTGATTTTTGAAACCTTTAACCACCAATTAGGCTTAGCATACATGGGATTAATTGTGGATTTTAATCCCTTAATTAATACCCCAAGACGAAACCCTGTACCAACTTTTATTTAGTTATCAAAAATTCCCCAATCTGCTAATTTATTCCACTAATTTTTCTGGGGTATATCAATTTTTTTTGGCATATAGTCGGTAGGTATTCATAATTTTTTTTAAACAATTCAAAAACTTTTTATTTTCAAACGTATTCGGTATTAATATAATTAAAAACCGACAAAAAGTAAAATACTTTAAAAATAAAAACGAAACATAACAAAAAAAATATTACAAATATTATAGTGTAAACATAAAATTCCAAATATTTTTAATATGATGTGTGTATTCTAAAAATACCTTAAAAATCTCACTGAAATATATTTACGTTTTGCCTAATATTTAAGTATTAAATTTATACATATCGAGGGACTATATTCAATAGTCACTATCGAAAATAATACAAGTTTTCAGGAGTGCAAAAAAAACTATTTCGCTAGTTTTTTGCATTATTTGAAAATTATTTACAAATTTATATCAGATAAAGCTTTTTTTCTACGAAATTTTTTTACAACCTTCAGATAGAGAGTTTTTCATAGAAATATAAATTTTTTATTTGATTTAATATCAATAAATATTATATTTTATGCGATTTAATGAAATAATAATTTGAAGCAATTTTTGGATAAGATGGAGAGTTTTGCATTCAGAATTTTTCTGTTTTTAAGATAGAGAAATTTAAAAGTTGCTATAAAATTGGCAAAAACTATTTTTTTCTTTGAAATTTATATCACTGATGCGGGATAGTTTGCTGGATATTTTGCCATCAAAATCTTATTTTTATGAAAATGACAGAGATTATTGAATATAGTCCCTCGAAATGATGGATCTGTCTAAAATCATGCCCGCAAGTGCAACGTTAGAATCTTTGGTGGAAAATTCTAACGATTAAACCGTTAATGGAACTTAAATATGATTTGCCACCAAATTATGCTTTTTCGCTTTGCGCATTACATAAGATATTGATGTTGTCTAAAAAAGCACTACGTGCACTATATCTTTTATATAAAAAACATTGAAACCTTCTACGAGGCAATCTTTTGGTTTTAAATAAAAATTTGAAACTTTATTTTGTTTTATTTTCATACAAAATTTGGACAAATTGGATTGATGCCAAACAACCATACATACATTACAATAAATTTTTTGTTTGCATTTATGCAAATTTCAACTGTCTGGCTGGTCTCGTGATTTCAACAAACATACATACATCGCCCAATATTAACCGCTCGGTTAACCGATTGAATACCTCGTATAATATACCGTTTAATGTGATCAAATGACCAATATTTGTATGCTTTACATAAACGCACTACATATACACTAATGTTATAAACAAAATAAGGACCTATCACTACGTGGTAAGCAGTAGTGTTCTAATAACGAAAACATTTTACTCGGGTCATTTTGTCGTAAATGTCTTAAATAAAATATTTTTGTATAAAATGAAGAAAATTATGGATTCTTTCTTCCTTTTGTAATAATTATTAGTTTTTAAAAAATTACAGAGTGCAAAAGTGTAACACTTTCCAACTATGTTTAATTCGTAAATATTTTCCTAAACAGGACTATGACAAAAACCAGACTTATACAATATTTTAAGGATAAAATACCCTGTAAAATATCATACCAGTATTCTAAATTTTCCTGTCTAAATCATAAATATTAAGCTTAATTGCTAAAATGTTGCCTCATGTAACACATTTGCTCGTCACTATACATATGTATGTACATATTTATCAATGCACCTTTGAAGGCGATTTCACATGATGCTACATTAGTTTTTGTTTTTAACCATTAAACTTAAAGACCCAGCAACTACTAACAAATCTATCATGGTCAAATACTTTGAGATATTTAATATAATAATAAGTTAGATTTTATAAAAATAACTAAAGTGCCATAGTGTCTACTTACCTTCTCCGCCGTCTTGTTGTTCCCACTCCCAGTCGGGACCCCGCACTACTTTAGCTCCAACAAATATACCCTTTAATTGAATACGCTTTGAAGATTTTCTTGGAGGAACTCGAACACTTTTAATTAAACAAGGTATACATTAAAATATTTAATATAATTTTTAAAAGCTGTAATTACCCTAAGGACGTTGGTGATGTATAACGTATAAATGGGTGTTCTTTATCATGTATATCAGCTCCGTAGCAATAAGAACACAAGTGATAATTACAACATTGTGCACATTTAAAAACTATGCCTGCTATACCTCCTTTTGAACATCCGTCACATACTACGTTCGAATGGCGAATACCTTGAAATGAAAATGTTTATTGTTTACTGCAAAATATTATTCATTAAAATGTTTAATTTTAAATAACTTACCTACTTGTGCGTTATCCACAATTATTAAATCGTATTGGTTTTGATAACCAACGCGGTAATTAGTTCTTTGTCCAGAATCCCAATTAACGACAACGGTATTCTCAGGCGAGTGTATTGATCCTGAACGTCCTATTTCACAAACAGTTCCAACATGACCTTCTCCTCCGTCTATGAAAAAGAAATATTAAAATAAAATATATATATGAAATAAGTGTAAATACACACTTATGTAAAGGGAGGAAAATAAAATATTCTATTTATAAAATTTAGCAGAATTTTGATACAAATGTACGAGAGAAGTGAGCATCTATACATATGTACATACTTATTTAAATGAACTGCATTTTTATTAACAAAATAAGATCTAAAATTGGGGTGTTTTTGAAGTAAAAATTGCTATCAGATCTAAATAACGTAAACATGTTGTATACATAATCATCTACACATGTAGTATATTGCGTTTCTTACGGAAATTTGCTTTTATAAATATGTATACTCCTTAATATCCGGTGAGCATGTGTTTATTTTTAGGCACACACATACAAACAGATAATGAACTGCAGAACTGCTACTGAGTATCCTGCAGTTCGGGGGGACTGTCCCTAACTACTTATTTAACGTACGTTAGTTACCAATAGGGATGCCAATCATGGCTTTTTGGGATTTCTAAATCTCGCAAAATATAAATAAATTTTCAAAAAATCTTTGTAATTTTTACAAAAAAAATCACATTTTCTATTTCATATTACATCCCAGCAAAAAATAATTGATGTCATATTTTAAACCCTATGAATTTTACATTATCGTGTCATTGGGTGATGTTGTTTATTTTTGACAACTTTGAACTACATCTAATCTTATTTTTAGAAGCAGTTAAAACTCGATATTTGGATGTGAATAATAAATCACATTCTTTCAATGACACGCTTATGTAAATTTCATTGTTTTTTCTTCATAATATGATGTACTTCGAATGTTATTTGTAGTCACTTTACTACATCTCTTTCCTCACTTTTAACTGAGGATTCATTTGTAAGGATTGCGACCATTTCTAGGCTTTTTTTCTGCAGTTTGAAAAATATAGAATTTTTTTTTCGTTAAAATTAGAAACAAACTAAAATTAGAGATTTTAAGAAAAAAATTTATTAAAGTTAGATACATAAATGTATATAATTCATATGTGTAAGACTCTGAATATTTTCGAGTAATTTTGTTGACAAACAATTACATTTGTCTCTGTATTTTTAAAACAAACTTTAAATAAAGTTAAAATGTATATCTTTTTGTAAAAATCTTTTTTCTATTTCGAAAAATTTTTTATACCCTCCACCACCATCAGTGGTGATAGAGGGTATATATAACTTTGTCATTCCGTACGTAACATCAAGAAATATTCACCTGATACCCAAAAAAGTATATATATTCTTGATCCTTATGAAATTCTGAGTCGATTTAGCTATGTCCGTCCGTCTGTCTGTGTAAAACACGCTCACGTTAAAACGATGCAATAGAAATTCACCCAAAACATTCTTTATTATCCGGTACAATTTGGTATTGAAAATCAGTAAAATCGGTTCACTACGTAAAAAGTTATGAGTAAAAATTTCAGACTACCTCGAAAAAAAATAAGTTTTTTTTTTAATTCTGAAGTAGTTTTCTCAGAAACTACCAAAGATATTTCGATGAATTTTGCCACACGTTACAAATTTTTTTGTGCCAGGGATCAAGTATGTTCAAACTCATAACAATTGATCCAATATTTACCATAGCCCCCATACAAAGGTGTATATTCCCAGAAATTAGTTTACCTTTAATAACTCCCTCAAATATATCGGTATCAACACAAAATATGATATGAATAGAAATCATACTACCAACGTAGATCTGAGTCGGTCCACAATTGGGCATAGCTCCCATATAAGGTCCACCTCCAAAAATCAACTAAACGGACATATTTCATTGATAAATAAAGCTTTTGTGATAAAATTCGAGCTGAATATGTTTTGTGTACATACAAATCATTCTACCAAATTTCTTTTCGGATCGGTCCATTATTAGTCGTAGCTCCCATATAAGGCCCACTTCCAAAAATCACTTAAACGTACATGTTTCATTGTCAAATAAAGGCATCTTGATAAAATTCGACACAAATATGTTTCGTCTATATATGAATCACTCTACGAAATTTTTTTCGGATAGGACCATATTTGGTCATAGCTCCCATATCAGGTCCACTTCCGAAAATCACTTAAACGCATATGTTTCATTGATAAATAACTTCAACTTGAATATGTTTTGTGTACATATAAACCATAATACAAAATTTTCCCCGGATCGGTCCATTATTTAAACTCACATATTTCATTGTCAAATAAAGCTATCTTGATAAAATTCGACACAAATATGTTTTGTGTTCATACATATGAATCACTCTACGAAATTTTTCTGGAGAGGTCCGTAATTGGTCATAGCTCCTATATAAAGTCCACTTCCGAAAATCACTTAAACGCACATATTTTATTAATTAATAAATCTATTGGAGTAATATTCGACATGAATTTCTTTTTTTTGCATATAAATCATTATACGAAATTTTTTCTTGATCGGTCCATAATTGGTCACAACTCCCATATAAGGATCATTTCCGAAAATTACTTAAACGCATATTGACAATCAAAGTCATCGGGATAAAATTCGACATAAATGTGTATTTTGTATATATAAATCGTTATACGGAATTTTACTTATGAAAATTACTTAATACCACTTAACTAATTATTAAATGATTATATCCAGATAAAATTCGACATGAGTATGTTTGTGTATAGATAAATCATTATATTAAAATGTTTACAACTGGCCTATTAATATAAAATTTTATGAACCTAATCAAAATTAGTTCCACTTATGCATAAATGTTAGTACCCTCACTACGGAAACAACAATTTTGTCAAGTTATCTAAAAATTAGATAGTTAAATGGGTTTTAATAAAAAGTAGCTTGCTGGTGGAGGGTATTTAAGATTCGGCATAGCCGAATATAGCTCTCTAACTTGTTATATGTAATTTTCATTTCTATTGGAAGACTTTTTTAGAATATGTTGATTTCAAAAACTGTGTACCCATTCAGTTGGATTTAGAATCTTAATTCTTTATTTTATTTTTGTGTAATAATGAAGTTTAGTGCTCTTTTTATATTATTTTCCCCGTTAAATATGAGGAAAGAGATGTAGAAAACTCACTACAAATAACATATTCGAAGTATATCAAACTTTTGTGAAAAACCAATGAAATTTATTCATTAATTCATTGACATCCAAATATCGAATTTTAAAATTCCGAAATTTCCCGGGGATTTCATTTTTAAAAATCCCGGTTTTCAGTAAATTAAAATCCCGGTTTTCAGTAATATAAAATCCCTGTTTTCAGTAATTTAAAATGCCGAAAATACCGGGATTTTCGGGAATCGGGATTTCCCGTTTGGCATCTCTAGTTACCACTAACCATCCGGTTAGTGGACTTGTCGTAGGAGGAAGTCAATCGTCACTTCATAGATAAGAAAGAGGCGATAATGAAGCTAGGAAAAAGGGATCAATGCATGGTAATGTACAAATCTATTACGTCCTTTACTAGTTTCTTTAATAAAACTTAAAACTTTCAATAAAAATTTGCGAAATATTAAGAAAATTTATACAAATATTGTAGAGATTCATTAAACATTTGAAGTGTGCTACAGGTGGATAAGGTTTTTTATAGAGCCTAAAAAAATTTGAAATTTAAAATCCAGTTATTAAAAAATTTTATTTTAATATTATAACTTTTCCAATAAAATTTAATAATTTAATAATAATTGTTGCAAAAATTTTTATTTGCACTAAAATCTCTTAAGTGCAATATTTTAGTTAAAGCTATTTTATTTATGTACTATTTTAACACATTTTAAAAAATATTTGCCATCTATTTGTGAATTGCAAAACAAATTTATTTGTTTGAAAATTATCTTTTTGTTGTACGAATTCGGACATTGCCATATTGATAAATCCTACTATTTTTATACCCTACACCACTTTAGTGGGGAGGGTATATTGGATTTGTGCTGATGTTTGTAACATACAAAAATATTCGTCCTAGACCCACCTTAAAGTATACCAATCGGCTTAGAATCGTTTTCTGAGTCGATTAAGCTATGTCCGTCCGTCCGTCCGTCCGTCCGTCTGGCTGGCTGGCTGGCTGGCTGTCCATGTAAACCTTGTGCGCAAGCTACAGGTCGCAATTTTCAAGATAATTGGATGAAATTTGGCACGCACGTTTTATTTGACCCAAGGACGAAGCCTATTGAAAATGGTTAAAATCGGTCCATTATTTCACCTAGCCCCCATAGAACAGAACCCCCCGAAAAGGGCTTCTGAGCTCGTAATTATGTTAAATATACAGATATATCGATAAAATACGGCACAACTAAGTTTTATAGAAGTCTTGATGACCCTGCCAAATTTCATAAAGATCGGGCCCCATTTGACCCTAGCTCCCATACAAAGTCCCCTTCAGAAAATTACTTGAATGTCCCAAATTAACTTATAAACACAAATATCGCGATGAAATTCAGCACAATAAAATATTATGTAAATATAAATATATTCATATATTCATATATTCATATATCGGGCTTGGTCCATATTTGCCCCTAGCCCCCATATAAAGCCTCTTTCAGAAAATTAGTTTTTCATCCATAAATTGCTTAAATGTATCGGAACAAGGGAATATTGAAGATAAATGCTTTATTATGAAAAATAAATCACATTTAATATTCATAACTGGTGTAGGGTATCATATGGTCGGCCACGCCCGACTATACTTTCTTACTTGTTTTTAGATTTAATAAATACAAATTGGGCTTACCTCTTTTAACTGAAGAACAGCAATTTTTGCACTAAAGTTAAGTTTTCTTTGACCTTATATTGAGCAAAACAAAAAAACTCTAAATATATTATTTTTCTTGAAATAATAGATCAAAAATAAATCCAGTGATTATTAAAAAAGCCTCTTTTGATTGATAGCCTTTTTATACCCTACACCACTTTAGTGGGGAGGGTATATTGGGTTTGTGCTGATGTTTGTAACATACAAAAATATTCGTCCTATATACCCACCTTAAAGTATACCAATCGG